AGGGAGGGAGGGAGGGAGGGAGGGAGGGAGGGAGGAAGGGAGGAAGGAAGGAAGGAAGGAATATTCCCAGAGATGTGAAGTACAGCTGTCTGGTTGTCCTATTTTGTTTCTTTTTCTTTTTGGTTTTTTGAGACAGGGTTTCTCTGTGAAGCTTTGCACCTTTCCTGGGTCTCGCTCCATAGACCAGGCTGGCCTTGAACTCACAAAGATCTACCTGCCTCTGCCTTCCGAGTGCTGGAGGTGTGCGCCACCACCGCCCGGCTTATTTTGTTTCTTAAGGACGAATCAGGCACTGGAGAGTGGCTAGTAGTACACACACCTTTAACCCAGAATTCGTTGAATGCTTCGTTTGCTAAGAAGTTGCCAGCTAGCCTGTATCTTGGGCTCATAACTTTAAGCCTGAGGGTGGGCTTCATTGCTTATCAGCATGAGTGGGTTCTGTGAGAATAATCCCATGTCATTTGAACACCATAGAGTGTACTCACAAACTAAGGTAATACGGTGTCCCTGATGATACAGCCTAATGGGACCAGCATCCTCTGTTGGTTTGTCGTGGACCTGAGTGTTAGTATGTGGTGCATGACTGTACTTAGCATTGAAGGAGCTGGGTATTTGTCATATTCACCCACGTTTTCTCCTTTGCCATATTGGTGAGAGAGAAAACTGGATACATTAACACTTTAAAGGATTTTCTAGTGCATACAGGGATTTATCAGTTGAGCGATTCCAGATGGAAAGTGGTTTGGGTGCTCCATCAAAACAACATGAAGAGAAATGTTTAGCGTGAACACGCAAGCAGAGCGAAGAAGCAAAGCTTGAACAGTTGCCTCTTTCATCTGCCCTGACAGAAAGTCCCTGATAATACAGCCAGTTCTCAGTCATCCTTGTGGAAGGGGCTCGGCTTGCTTCATTTTTCTTATAGAAACTTGGGGCATCGGCACCGTCTCAGCCTCAAGGCCTCCTTTGAAATCGTTTTTTATCTCTAGGTTGTAATATCACAAAATTTCCAGCCCCCAAAGATGGCATGTGTACTGTATTTTATTATGGTGTCAGTGTGACTCATCAAGGGTTAAAAGCGCACACTGCCCCTATAGAAGACCCAAGTTCCACACTGGATAGCTCACAACTGCCTGTCAACTCAACCCCAGATGGTCTGATACTCTTTTCTGGCCTATGCATTCACATGCACCCCTACACACATATACCATAATTAAAAAAATAAAGCCAGTGGGGTAGCACATGCTTTTAAGCTCAGCACTTGGGAGGCAGAGGCAGGCTGAACTCTTGATTTCAAGGCCAACAAGGTCTACATAGTGAGATCTTGTCTAAGGGAAACACACACGCACGCACGCGTGCGCGCGCACACACACACACACAAGAAGGAATTTGATTTTTCTTCATAACCACAGATGAATGACATACAGCTGTCCCTAGTCAACTGGTTGAGTCTTTAAGCTCTATCTATCTGGACAGAAATCATGGGTAGAGGAGGCAAAGCTCTTCCACTCTTGGCAACCCAAGTCTTGAATGGCCAAGGCCTAGCATCTAGACTAACAGACCCAGAAGCTAATAGCTTCAAGTAAAGAGTGCTTTCGGGTTTTAAATGTTCAGGTGGGAGCCTTCTCCCTCTGGGCTTTGTTTGTCACTAGTGGCCTCAGCACTTGGCAGACACTGCAGTCCTTGGCTTCCCGCAGCAGTGACTGGCGGCAGCAGCCAGCAGCCCTGGGTGGTACATGCCTTTTAGTGCTAAAGCTCTCCAACGGGCCTCGGGTTCTGGGATCCTCAGTCTTACTGTGGTGTTAGCACTCGAGGCAACCTGTGTCATCACTGCTTGTTCCTACAATGTTGGTGACATCAGCCGTTGACAGAGGCTCTAGTGTCACAACTCTCAGGCGTAGGGTGCCTGGGACCCCTGGTGTTTAAGGTGCATCTCCTTGGAACTGGGGCCCAGAGTTCCCTTCCTCCTTTCTCACTTTACCTCTACTCTGACATCCTTTACTGACTCCATTGTACTGCCGCCCCATCCCCCCATTTACCTGATCACTCTCTGGACTCTTCAGTTCAGGGGGGTCTGCACAGGAGGGTCTGGAAAAGTGAGTTAGTCTGCTTATATAGCCGGAAAGGGGGTGTCCGTCATCTTTGCAGAAATCAAGGTGAGCTTCCATGCAAATAAAGGAGTTTGTTTGCACCAATCACAAGCATAATCTCACATGCAAATAAAGGGTCATGTTTGTTCCATCATAGGCCTTATTATGGGCACCAGGAAAAGTGCCCCACTTTTGGCTAGGTTGAAATAGCTGCTGGACCTACTGGGGAAGGATGTCCAGCCCACTGTGCAGAGGCAGAGGGGCCCAGGATAGCTACAAAAGCAGCCCGACACAACGTTGTAAACTTACTCAAAACACTAAGATTTGTTTTGCACTGGATTGCATGGTTCTCCAGCATGAACATTGTAGTTATGTAGATATGACCCAGAGAAGCCAAGGGTTCGATACCTAGGCTTGTGATTGAGAATGGGAGAAAGAAGAAAAGGTTATGTGAGCACTTGAGACAGCTGTGACTGTGGTGTAGCTTCTGCTGGGTATGCATGGAGTTTCAGAGTCGCCAGGTTGACATGAGGGTGGACAGTGATGCCTTGGCAGGTAGTCAGAGTGACTTCAGCACCAGGCAAAGGTCTGACAGATATCAGCCAGGGAGGTAAGCCATACCGAGTCCAACATCTTATTTGCAAGAAGAACAAACAATAAAAGGGACACTTAGGAAGCCAAGTACAGTGGTGCATGCCAGTAATCCCAGAACTGGACAGGCAGAGGTGGGAGAACTGCGAGTTCAAGGCCAGCCTGTAGTACACAGCAAGACTGTTTTGCAACAAACAAACAAACAAAAAGCCCGCAGGGCCTGGAGTGCTGGCTTAGCAGTTGGAGTACTTGCTGCCCTTACACACATTGGGTTCAGTTTCCAGCATCCACACATGTGCTCATAGCCACCAGTAGCTCTGGCTCCAGAGCCCTGGGCTCCATCTCTGACCTCCACTGGCACTGCACTCATACTTCAATGCAAATACATATACTCAGGTCTACACAGAGACACACGAAATAACAGTAATACATAAAGTAAAACATAAAAATAAGCCGGGCGGTGATGGCGCACGCCTTTAATCCCAGCACTCGGGAGGCAGAACCAGGCGGATCTTTGTGAGTTCGAGGCCAGCCTGGGCTACCAAGTGAGTTCCAGGAAAGGCGCAAAGCTACACAGAGAAACCCTGTCTCAAAAAACAAAAACAAAAAAAGAAAAATAATAAAAATAAAAATTAATCATCTATTCATGTATTTTTAAAAGGCAATGGGCAATGTTGTGTGTACAACAAAGCAAAATGGCTGATTAACAGCGAGTGACCTAACGGGACCTAACAGTGTGCTAGCAGGTGCCTGGGTCTTCCAGTTTGTCTCCCAACCTCTGGGGAGTCGGGCATCTTGGCCACCCATTGCCTAATTCACACTTTTCGAAAAGCTTATCAGTTAATAATGTGCGGTATATAATGCATCAGAAGACTGCTTTCTTCTCTAATGAGTGTCCGTTTTCTAGACCAAATAATGAGTCAGTATGGGTAGCCCCACATGAGTCTGTGGCCCCCCTTTTCCTGTGGCCCAGTGTGCATTCATTCTTAAGCCATTCTTTATCATAGCACAGAAAGTGGCTGAGTTATGTTAGTTTTCCATGATAAATTCCTGTCTTCCCAAGTGACAGTAATGCACTTTTCAAAGCCCCTAAAAGGCTGGTCGGTATGAGATTGGTTTTTCCAAGAGGCATTTAATATAAACTGATATTCCTATTGGAATATCAGTGAAAAAAGGAGAGGGGTATTTTTGGCCAGCTAAGTACCACTGGCTAGAAACCAACACAAGGTCCCTCGGTGCTAGCCACGAGCATTGTGGGACTGTAGTGGGAGCCGCGCTGTGACGACTCTGGAGGGCTCCTTGAGGTTCCCTTCAGCTTGTCTCATCTTGTTAGGTTAATTGGTTCACCATAGCTAAGATGGGAAATTGTGGGATTGGTCTTCAATAGATTCTGTATCCTCAGATTCAGCCGACTACAGATCATAAAAATTCAGGGAAAAATGGGCCTGTACCGACTGTGTAGACACTTAGATTATTCCCTTAACAGTCCTGTGCAATACCTATTTGCCTAGCACTCAATTCTATTAGGTAGTCTAGAGATGGTTTAAGTGGATAGGAAGATGTATGTGTGTGGGTTATATGCAAGCACTGTACCATTTTATGTACAGTAATTGAGCATCCATGGATTTGGGGATCTATCTCCATGGATACTCAGGGACAACTGTATTCTATTAACTTGACATATGTTGCTTCATGTGACTGCCTAACATAACCCAAGTGACTTTCCTTTGTCAAATAAAAGGGGTGATTTAAAGAACTTTAAGAAAAACGTTAAAACAAGTACAACAAGCGGCTTCATTCACGGTGTAGGGCATAAGCTCTCATTCTTGTTCTCGATGCACAGAAGGGACGAATCCAGACAGTCTCCACTTAAGGAAGAGCTCTCAGCAGAAAACTCAAGCTTTGTGTCTAGAACGAAGCTTCTGGCTTTCTTAGAGTTAAAAGTACTTGTGTGTCTTTGTGGTGACAGCCACACTGCTTGTCTTGGATGGGTGGACTCACTCGTATGTTGGGACTGGCCTGGCAACAGCTGGAGATACCTGTTAGATCTGACAAAAAACTAGAAGACAGAATCGAATTCGCACTGTGCCTCACTGCCTGTGGTTCCAGCATAGGCATACAGGCTATTGCCTTCTGGCTAGTTCATGAAATTCCAAGAGAAGGTTGCTTCAGCTCTGACACAAGTAGAATGCCGTGATTTTCTTGACTTGCGTTCAGAAGTGTAGAACTGCCCACCTGTCTGTGAATCCATGACCTCCGTCTTTCTCCACTTATGAGCTCTGGATTTTTCAAGGGGCCCCTAGAGTTCTATGGAAAGTGTTGAACCTAGTGCTGGAGAAAACGCAATGTTATTTTTGCCTGTACCTTTTGATCCTCCTGCCTCCTGCCTTGAATTTAAATGAAATTAATTAACTCACCCCCTTTTGAGACATAATTTTGCTTTGTAGTCCTGGCCACTCTGGAATTTGTGTAGACCAGATTGGTTTCAAACCTGTGGCAATACCCCTGCCTCTGTGCCTTTCAAATACTTGGATACAGGTGTGTACCACCACACCTCAGCCTAGTTTTCTGATCCCCATGATTCTGATTGCGTGAAGGCATAGGAAAAGCTCCCCATTTCTTGAGAATTATTTTACGTTCATGAATTGGTATTATAAGAATTGATCAAGAATAATTACATCAGGAAAGCCAAGAACTATTGTAGGATCACCCACCCTAGAAATCAAACTTCAGGTCCTGAATTTTACATGTAAGGAAAATACGTGCAAAACACATCAGCCTCATATTTTCTTACTTTGAATCCTTCCATTTTCAGTGTTTTCTTTGAGTATAATTTCAGTCATTTCTGAGTTTTTGACATGCAAAAATAAACATTGCAGAGCTGATGATATGCATCAGTAGTAGAGCATTTTCCTAGCATAGGCCAATCCTTTGGTTTGATTTTTCAGCACTGAAAAAAAAATTAACATTATGAAAAGTCCTATGTGGTTGATATTGGGGGAAGGCCAGAACTTGTTTTAAAAGTTCTCTTCAGTGTTGAAATAGGTAAAACGTGTCATCTAGAATCATGTTTTTGAAATCTGAATCTTCATATATATTAGGGTATATTGCATAACAATGGAAAATATGTATGTATTTCAACACTAACCTACAAAAATTGAACTCTGAGGTTGGGGATATAGCTGAGCTGGACGAGACTGGGTGTGGTATGTTTAGGGTGGTTTGGCCCTTGTCGTAGCTCAGGTGGTGGGGTGCTTGCCTTTCATGCACAAAGCCCCAAGTTTGATCCCCAGCTCCACATGAATCAGTTACAGTGGTACCTGCCTATAATTCCAGCACTGAGGTGGTAGAGACAAGAGAATCAGAAGTTCAAGGTCAGCCCTTGTCATTCCCAGTTCAAGGCCAGCCTGGGTTACATGAAACCCTATCTCAAAGAACTAAGGTAGGAGCCAGGAAGGAGATTTACATTTAAAACACATTTAAGAGAATTTAGCTCTGTGCGGGGATGGTTATAGTATCTCCATATGCTTTCGCTACCCTTTCTTAGAGTCGTTAGAAACATCTCTAGGTGAAGGTCCAGATCCATTCTAGTAGAGCAGGGTAGGTGCTTATTTTATGCCCTGCACGGCAGAAACAGGTTATTGCTGCAGGCAGTTAGTTACGTGTGATTTTTCAGATCCCACTACAAAGTTGCTGAATTTGTTTTTGTTTTTTTCTTTTCTTTTTCTCTTTCATTGTTTCCCTCTGATGTGGCCATTGTGTTGACAACCTTCTGTATCTCGGCTATTGAATTTTTTTCTTTTCATCATGAAGAAAACCTCCCAAGGTAAGTACTGGCATGGAAATGGGCATCAGTACTGACTTAGTATGCATTTGGGAGCCTAACTCATCACAGGAGCCCATGGAGAATCCCTGGCCACCTAGGAATTAAGACTGACATTCTAATTTAAAATGTATGCCTGAGTCAACAGTTCATGTTGGTGCTGGTGTAAGATCAGTATGTTACCAATTCTACAGAGTGCTCTCACCCACTGTTACATTCTTAGAAGATAATTGAATCTGTAGACCTGTCTGCTCGGATTGGGTCTGTGCTGTTGGTATGGAAAGGGAGCTTAGCGAGGAGGAGGAGGAGGAGGAGGAGGAGGAGGAAGAGGAAGAGGAGGAAGAGGAGGAGGAGGAGGAGGAAGAGGAGGAGGAGGTTCATAGATTGAGAGTGGTGGAGCTGAGGTTGTTGGCATGACTGTGCTGGCTAGTTTTATGTCAACTTGATACAAGCTAGAGTCGTTTGGGAAGAAGGATTCTCAATTGTGAAAATATCTCCCTTAATACTGGCCTGTGGGCAAGTCTGTAGGACGTTTTCTTAATTAGTGATTCATGGGGGAGGGCCCAGCCTACTGTGGGTGGTGACATCCCTAGGCGGGTGGTCATGGATTCTATAAGAAAGCAGGCTGAGCAAGCCATGAGGAGCAAGCCAGTAAGCAGCGCCCCTCCATGGCCTCTGTATCAGCTCCTGCCTCCAGGTTCTTGTGCCCTGCCTTCCCAGATGAGAGACTTCAAAGTGTGAGCTGAAATAACCCTTTCCTCCCCATGCTGCTTTTGGTCAGGGTGTTTTTACCACAGTAATGACTAAGACAATGGCCATTCCAGAAAGCAGAAGAATAAAAACAGGTCCCCCAGGGTGAAACTTGGTAACTTGCTTAGACCGACAGACTGTCTTCTGCTGTCAGAGTTCTTAGCTGATCTACTAGTGACTACTAGTTAGAGCTGTCCTGCTGCCCTGGCCAACTTTTGATGGCATTTTTACTGGTGGAATCCTGAAAAGTTCAAGAGTAAATGGAGTGGGCGTGAGAAGGTGTTTGAGTGACAGCCCTGTGTAAGTGAAGGCTGGTGTCATCACCAAGGAACATGTTGCTGAGTATTAGAGAGTTGTTTATTTCCACGAGTCACGAGAAATTTCACCAGCCCTAGCTAAAGTCACTGATTACAGCCATGCCACCTAAGACAGGTTTAGGGCCAACTCTTTCTCCATATGGTCAGAATCTACACGTGAGAGCATGGAAGAGAGGAGAGAAAGGCTTACTTCATAGCCCTGGGGCTATGAAGAAAACACTCAATATAGCTCTTGGATTATGGAAACCCAATAAAATGTTATTTCCTGCTTTATAGTTATTGAGGCCATCATTCATATTGTCTTTGGCACTAAGAGTTTGAACTCCAGCCAGGGAGGCATGCACTGAATAAATAATAGGAGAGGTCTTAAGAAAGAGGAAGTGTCAGATGTTCCTCAAGTGAGCTGGGCCAGTCATCTGGTGGGTCATGACAATTCTCCCTGAGTAATTGCTGGGGTGTTTATAATCCCTAAAACTCACAACCTGGAAAGTTTTCTGCTCCTGGGGGATACATGTCCCTTTATCTTGTCTGTTTCTTTGCTCCCAGAAGTTTCAAAGCATATAGTCATCCTGGTAATAAATTAACTTTGTTTCCCACAAAAAAGCCAGTGTGAGCCAGGCAGTGGTGGCGCACGCCTTTAATCCCAGCACTTGGGAGGCAGAGGCAGGTGGATCTCTGTGAGTTTGAGCCTAGCCTGGTCTACAGAGTGAGTTCCAGGACAGCCAGGGCTGTTACACAGAGAAACCCTGTCTAAAAAAAAACAAAAACAAAAACCAATTTGTTACTGGAACCATTCCGCCCATGGCCGCCCAGTAAAGGAAAAGCATTGAAGTTGACAAGGCACAAAAACAGTCTTAACAATCACAACTACTCTCCACCCAGAGCACTCTGGTTATGTTCTAGCCTACAAAAATAGTGGGATGCTAAAAATCATTCCAAAGACTAGCCATGAAATTCTCAAAACCAAAATTAATGGTAAATCATCATGTTAAAAAATATATCTTTGCCAGGCAGTGGTGGTGCATGCCTTTAATCCCAGCACTTGGGAGGCAGAGGCAGATGGATCTCTGTATCTTAAAGTGTATTTAAAAGTATTCTAAAGTATATTTAATACATATATATCTTTAAAATACTTAATAGCTGTTATCTATTCTATGAGGTACATTTGGGAAGCCTAAAAATGTCTTGAAAGCAAATAAGTAATAAAATAGAGTAAAAATATGAAAGACACAGAAGTAGATTTAGGGCATGTGTGTATTGAAAACAAGTGGGAAAAGCAGAGATGCTTTTAATGCTTTGTAAGACAATGAGATTCACAAACCCCAGGACAGACAGGGCGACTCACCATAGCTAATATTTCATGTAGGAGCAACTCATACATGAAGCAGACTCAGTCTTGGCATTGTGTTTGTGGTGGGCTGAGTATGTTTGCAATATGAAATCAGTTGTGCCGAGGTCACAGGAGCCAAGTTCATAGGATACAATTTCCCATTCTGACCTTGCAGTCAGAAATGGCATACCAGAGAATCAGTATCACCTCCTCCGTCAAGTTCAGCTGAAAACACTTAAAGCCTATGCTTAGGATACTGACCCAAGTTCAAGCCCCAGAACCCACTCATATGATGGAATGAGAAATTGGACTCCCAGATGTTGTCCTCTGACCTCCACATATTTGCCCTGGCATTCATGTACTCATCCACATTCATACATACACATAAAGAAATGTGATTATAGTTCTTTAAGCTTGTGCGTAAAGAAACTGGAGCTCTATCAGGGTTAGAGAGGGATTACTAGATGAAGGTCCAAATCTAGTGTTTCATGTGCAGTATTCAAGCAGAAACAGCTTCGAGGTCAAGCAAGGTTCCTGGCAGCTTTGTGCGGCAGGAAAAGAGGGGGTCATTCTCACAGTGTCGGAGCTGAAGTCCTTGCTAAACTTCCTGTACCACAGCCAGCACAGTGGGTTGAGAACAGGCTTTGGGTAGCATGCGAAGGTAAAACAAAAATGAATCAGCCCTCAGGTGGATGGATGACTGTCAGGTCTAAGTCATTGTGTTACAGTGGGGGTGGGTGTGGGGTGCTATCCTGTTATCCCAATGCCCAGGAGGCTGAGGCGGGCCAAACTGTTCAACACAGTGAGACTCTGAGTTAGTTAGTAAGATAAAACTATAATACCAGCCCTCAGGAGACAGTGGCAAGAGGATTGCCACAAATTCAGGGCTACCCTGGTCTGCATAGCCAGTCTAGACCCACCACAGCTGCATAGTGAGATCCTGACCCTGGCTCAGAAACAAACGAACTAACAAAAACCAATAACCAAAACAAATACATCGCACACCAGGTCACTTCATGATCCAGGAAGCCTCAAGGACTGAAGTCACATGAAAGCAATCCCAGAATTCAGGTGCCTAGAGACCACAGGAGGAAAGAGATGTAATCCCATGTCTTTAAGGATTCCGCAGCCACCTTTAAGAACATAGTGTCCAACCCTGTGGGTGTATCTCAATGGCAGAGCACCATCCTAGGGTGCACAAGGTCCTGAGTTCCATCCATAGCAACACAAGGCAAAGCACAGAGTGAAACACATCAGAGCTAAAGAAGGTAATAAGATAATAAGAAGCAGAAGAAATAAAGGTAAAAAATAGACCTACACACACTTCTGATGTCAAATTGTCAGGCCCAAACTTTAAAAACACACTTGTTATGTTTCAGGAGATTGAAAAAAAAAAAAAAAAGATTGAAAAATGTTAGCAAGAAATGGATGTTATTTAACTCAAGAAGCCAATAACCCACTATAAATTCTCAGTCTGAAGCCGAAATTGGAAATTTAGTGTTGGGATTCCATAGCGGTGTAGATCAAGCTGAAAATAGAGGCGTAAAGGGACAGGAAGATAAATTAGTAGATCATAGTGAAATGATACTACAGAGACAATGAATGTGGAAACAGCTGAAGAGCCACATTTTTAAAAAGTAAACTTGGACCTTCCGTTCTTCAGAAAAATTCATTCAAGATGGATCGTAGTGCTCGATGTAAAATGCCCAACTGGGCTGCTTTCAGAAGGTAACGGAGGAGGTGACATGGCTTGGTGACGACCTTTCAGAGACGAAGCTGAAAGCAGGACACGAGAAAAAGATGTGGTATTTTATTAAAAGTAGTAGTGGCATTGCCGGTGACAGTGTTAAGTAAAAAGAAACACTGTATCCTGGGACAGATATTAGGAAATACCCAATAAAGGACTTGTTTCCAAATTATACAAAGATCTCTTAAAACTCAGCAAAAAAAAGAAGGAAACAGAAAAAATGTCAATTAAAAAATGGACAAATAGATCTGAGTAGACATTTCCCCAAAGAAGATACATGGTGTCAAATAAATAAATAAGTAAATAAAGTCACCGTCATGTCATTAGAGAACATTAAAATGACAACATGCCACTACACACCTATAGGATGCCTAAAATCTCCACGTCTCATAAAACCCAAGTGAAGGCTGTGGAGCCTCAGGACCTCCTTGATTGCTGGCCCAGCGAGGCATTCTGGAAAACCCCTGCAGCTTCTGAAAAGCCTAATTATATCCTTACCACGTGACCCCAGTGATCAAGCTTCGGGTAGTTACCCAAACCAACTGAAAGTTTGTATCTACTGTGCACAAGTGTTTATGATGGCTAGATTCACGGTGGCCAAATACTAAAGCAATGATGACCTCCAGCAGGAAGATGAATGCTGAGTCCTGGTACAGTCTTTTGAGTTCAAGGAGAAATGTGCTATCAACCCACAAAAAGGCACGGTGGAACCTCCTTTGCATATTAATAAGTGTAAGAAGCCAGCCTGAGAAGGCCCAATGCTCTAAGATTCCATTATTAATCCATGATGTTCTGGAGTAGGAGAAACTATGTGCTGATTAAAAAAGACAGTGGTTCCTCAAGACAGTGACCACAGCCT